TCCAGCTGCACACTGCTGCGCAGTCCTCCTGGCTTTCTGTGTCAGCATAGACAGATTGGTCTCTCATATCCGACAATCTGGTTCCGCGTACCAAACAACCCTTTTCACCACACATCTGTCGTCTTCTCCGATTTTTTTTTCTATATACACGGACTCTCTTTCTCTTTCTATATAGATCGAAATCTACTCTCTCTCTCTTCCTCTTCCTCTTTCCGCATGGCTCTCTTTTACAGGCAGCTGTGAGGAGAGTCCCGCACACCACTTCTTTCTTTTCGATCTATTTCATGCCGATCTCTTCTTCTTTCTCTTATTCTTCTTCTACTAGAGGCGTGTATATGCTTCTAGTTCTTTTTTTTTTTCTTTCCTTTTATCAAAACGACATCGTTTTAGAGTTTTCCACAATGATATCATTTTGGCTCCCTTTTTTACTTCTAACGTCCAGCTTCAAAACAACATCATTTTGATTTGTTTCAATCTAAATCTAAAAGATGGTGTAACCTTTACTATATATTAGTGCTCCATAAAAAAAAAAAAAGAACCATATACTATTTCTACATTTCAGAATATAAAAAATTAATGATTTTTGTTGGTATGTGTCAAATTCTATCTAGCTTTATCAAATTTATAATATTTAAAAAATTCTAACCATTCAAATAAACTTATTCATAATATTTGAAATTAACTATAATAATTATGATTTGATATGTGTAAAAAGTTTAGATAAGTTAAAAGAGAGATTTACTTACAGCAAAAAAAAATTAAAATTTGAAAATTCTAATCAAAATTATACCCAAAAAAGACAAGGAAATAAATAAGACATTTTAATAAAAAAATAAAGTAAGACTTTAAAGCAGGCTTTATACTTCAGAATATCGATCTGAGTTAATTTTTTTTTCTTTTTACATGAATTTCATGCAAAACAATCATAGAAATAATTAAATTATTTCATATTTTAAGCTTTTATGATCATAAAAATTCACATCTCAATCATCAAAAGCATTATCCCTTCCATTCGAGAAGAGAGAAAATAAAATTTAACCAGTCACCAATTCCTTTCAAACAGACAGACAGTCCAATCTTCTTTCTTCAACTCCTCGTAATTGGCAGACTCCATCATTTCCTTTTTCACTTTCTCTTTTTCCACATTCTTTTCTCTCTTTTCATAGTCTTGTTTTGATCAGCTTATTCTTCACACTATCTTTAACATTAATATATACTAATACGTACATCACTATTATTACATATATATACATATATTTATATATATATGTATATCAGTAACATATTCAATTTCACACACTAAAATATTAAGATTGAATCTAGAACCAAATTCTTATACTCATTTCCTAATAATAGAAGAGAAAGTAGTCAGTCAATTAAGTGTGGTTGGTTCACTATTATATATATAGAGAGAGCATATATATTTTATGCATAAAGAAAACCCAAGTGGTTATTCCATTCAAAAATAAAGTTTATATATAATTGTCACTATGCAGAGAGAGAACAGCTTTTAATTATCCTCACACACCTTTACATAATTATGAGAGAGAAGAGACAAAGTGAGAGAAAGGAGGCAAAGTTTAGATCACATGCAAACCACTTTCACATACAAAAGGCCAAATTTAATTTCCCTCATTAACAAGAAAAGCATAAAATCGTACTTAATTCTCATATTATTATTTACCTTTCTTTCCTTTATAGTCTCCTCCTCGGAAAACATATATACAATCAGATCACTTCCATATTATATATATATATATATCTTACAAGTATATGTTACAATCTTCACAAACCTCTCTTCCTCTTGAAATGAAATCTAAACACCCAGTAGTCTTGTTTAACTTTTCTCGAAGCCCTTCTACTTACATATATTAGTTTTTGCAGCGTGTGAAAAAAACAAGAGTTGATAGAAAATGAGAGCAGGAATTTGCAGTGTACAGCAAGCTCTAACTCCTGAGGCTGTAAACATAGTGAAACAAGCTGTTAGTCTTGCTACAAGACGAGGTCATGCCCAAGTGACTCCTCTCCATGTAGCAAGTTCTATGCTTGCATCTTCTGCTAGTCTTCTTAGAAGGGCTTGTCTGCAATCTCACTCTCACCCACTTCAATGTAAGGCCTTAGAGCTTTGCTTCAATGTTGCTCTCAACAGGCTCCCAGCTTCGAGCTCCAGCCCTCTTTTAGGCCCTCATTCTCCTCTCCCTTCCCTTTCCAATGCCTTGGTTGCAGCCTTCAAACGTGCGCAAGCTCACCAACGTCGAGGCTCAATCGAAAACCAGCAGCAGCCTATTCTTGCTCTCAAAATAGAGTTAGAACAACTTATAATATCTATACTAGATGACCCAAGTGTTAGTCGAGTCATGAGGGAAGCTGGTTTCTCTAGCACCCAAGTGAAAAACAATGTAGAGCAAGCTGTGTCTTTAGCAGTCTCCCCTCAAAGTCCTGGAACTAAACATCCTAATATGTCTCACTCTCCTTCTTACACCCATTTGAGGAATATGACAATGGCTCGTGGGAAGCCTTCGGATCAAGTTAAGAATGATCGAGATCATGTGACAAGCATTATTATCAACACATTGGCAAGAAAAAAAAGAAACACCGTGATTGTAGGAGACTATTTAAGCAGTAGTGAGGATATAGTTAAAGGAGTGATGGATAGGTTTGAGAAAGGACATGTTCCTGGGGATTTGAGGTATGTGCAGTTCATAAGTCTTCCTCTTGTGTCTTTGAGGAATCTTAGCAAGGAAGAGGTTGAGCAGAAGCTTGCAAAGCTTAGGCGTCTAGTGAAATGCTATATTGGTAGAGGGGTGATTTTGTATTTGGGTGATCTCAAATGGGTATCAGAAATTTGGTCATGTGATCAACAAAGGAGAAATAATTGGTATTGCCCTGTGGAGCTCATAATCATGGAGCTCAAAAGACTAGTTGATGGTGGAAGTGGGGAACATGAAGAGGGAGTATGGCTCATGGGCATTGCAACTTTTCAGACATACATGAGATGCAAAACTGGTCAGCCTTCTCTTGGGACCATGTGGGAGCTTCATCCTGTTACAATCCCACTTGACAACTTGAGTTTAAGTCTCAATCTTGAGAGGTAACTTGGATTAGAGATAAATTTAGCATCTTGTTTTTCTTGAAAATATAGTCTTTTCAATACCCAATATTCAATTTGTTATTATATGTGATTTATAAAATTTAAGGATGGATACAATTAGTTCAATGAAATAAAACTGTTTACTTTTTTTAAAAAAAAAGATTGTGTTGATACTTAATCATTGTGTTTTCTTTAACTTATTGCAGTGATTCTCAATCTCAGTATGGAAGTAGGGTATCTTATAAAGATGGGTGTTGTTGGCCAGTACAAGAAACAAGTGATGATAAACAGCTAATTACTGGTGCAGATACTTCAATAATCTATTTCAACAGGGAAGCAGCAAAAAGCAGTACACATGAAAACAAGGATACTTCAACAAGCTTGCCTTCATGGCTACAACAGTACAAGGAAGATACCAGAAGAAACCCCATAGACAATCAGGTTAACTTCCATCATAAATCTCAGTTGATTACAACAAATTATCTAGTGATTAAATCCTTATTCTTCCATTTAGACTTAAAGTTAATTTCACATAAAGTTTGGTGGGTATGGCGTGACCCACCCTTTTAACTTGTTGGCTTATGCGTAAAGGAATATGTTATTTTCTCTCAGTTTAAATTTTTAAAATAGTCGGCTCAATTTATTTTTGAGAAAGATAATAGGAAATGATTTTCTCATTGGCTAACTCTAGTACTCAAATTGAAACTAATAACTTTTACTCCCTCTAATACCAGGAATGTGTTAATGTTGTGGATGTATGCAAGAAATGGAACTCGTTTTCCAGTTCATCAAACAAACATCCCCAGAACACAGTTGATAAGAAGGTCATAAACTTTTCTTCACCATCTCCTTCTTCCTCCGCTTCAGTCTCTTCTCATGAGCACGCCAGCAATTTGAATCAAACTGATCATATAAGCTGGCCAGCTATTCTTAAGCTGAAAGTAGAAAAAGTCCGACCAAAAGAACACCAGTTCTGGATTTCTGAGAATGATGAAGGAGTTGAAAGCCATTTGAGAAGTTATCACGGTCATGAGCATAATAAACCAGAACTTCTATCCAATCCTAACTCTAGCCCCAACTCAGCTTCTTCGAGCGAGGCTATAGAGGAAGATACCGATGGCCTTAACATGTTCAAGGAGCTAAATTCCCACAACTTAAACATTCTTTGCAATGCATTGGAGAAAAAGGTTCCCCAGCATAAGGAGATTATTCCTGAACTTGTGAGGACCATCCTGCAATGCAGGTCTGGGATGAAGATAAAGAAAAGTAGTGAACTGAAACAATACAGACAAGAAAAGGAAGAAACTTGGCTATTCTTCTTAGGTGGTGATTGTGAAGTCAAAGAAGCGGTTGCTAGAGAGCTGGCTAGACTTATTTTCGGCTCACAAAGCAGCTTTCTTTCGATCAGCATGACTCATTACTCGATTCAAGAATCTAGCAAGAAGAGGAGGCAGGAAATGGATAGTAAGTGCTATGTAGAGAAACTTGGCGAAGCATTGAATGAGAACCCTCATCGTGTATTTTTCATGGAAGATATGGATCAAATTGATTCCTTTTCTCAAAAGGGTATCAAGCAAACAATTAAGAGTGGAAATATAACACTTTCCGGTGGGGAGACTGTTCCTCTTAAGGACGCCATTGTCATTTTCAGCTGTGAAAGCTTCAGTTCAGAGTCAATACCACCATGCTCTCCCTCTACAAGGCAAAAAAAGACCAGTGAAAACGAAGAGAAGGAAGATAAGAACAACCAGGGACTCGTCTCTCTAGATTTGAATATTTCCATTGAAGATAATACCAGCAGTGACGAGAGTTCAGATGAAGATATCGGAATTTTGGACTGCGTCGATAGGCAAATTGTTTTCAACTCTCAAGAAGTGTAGAAGTAGGGGATGTTAGGTAGCTAAGTTGATAGTTCTGCGTGCATGCATGGCTGGTTAAAATTTTCTTTTTAGGAAATTTTACATTTTTTATCCTAAAGATTTGTGGGGTGGGAAAGAAAAAATTTAAACTTACAAATGGGTATAGTAATGGTGAGAGGATTCTGGGAAATTTTCAAGGATTAGGGGCAAAAAGATGTAGTTTTTAGATCTTAATTATAATTTTGTGTATATTAATATTAACTTTTGCTACTTTATTATCATGATGTTGCATTGAACAGTTTGCTTGAATTCTAGATTTGATTTTTCTATGGGATTTCAAAAAGAAAAGTCATTTATAGTTGCCACTAATTTTTGTTTAAAATTCCTCTTCTTTTTTTTTGGAAAGCTACGAATATTATGAATTATCATGCCATTTAGCTTTAAACAATTTTCAGACTCTATACATATTACATATACATAAAATAACTCTTTAGCTTCATGATCAATATTCATCGGGTTATATAGTCTACAGGTTGTTGACTAGGTATTACCTTTGGATTTTTGAAGGATTCATTTAGTTTAATGCCAAATTTTGTCCACACAATTCTTTTCTCTGCATATTGAATTTAAAGAAATAATGTTATAATCTTTAAGTTACATAAAATATAAAATAATAAAAGAAGTGTAACTACTTGAACATAATCTTACATCATGATATGTTACAAATGGGACCATGCGTAATGATTATTCACAAAATATATTTGTTTATAAAATTTATCGAATCTATAAGTGATGATCTTTTTGTCAATGATAGGGAAGTATAAATAAAATACTACGAATATTTGTGATCTACTGTTAGATATTCATTTGAGTTATTACTATAGTATTTAAAGCAAATCTTTCACCCAATTCTATTAAATATGCTAGTAAAAAAGATTTATTTTCCACAACTAAAAACACATATTAGAATTCCACATCCTTGTGCAAAGAATATAACATTTTATTAAAGATGGTAGAAACATCATTGTCAAGGATATTTTTATAATCCCCCAATGGTATAAAAGAAATGTGTTAAATTCTTTTTTTCTTCAATGTTTTAGTTTATCTTCTTCATGTAACTTCAAAACTTTCTCCTATTCTTTAAATGCATATTACAATAGGCATATACAAACCATAAATAGAAAAGACTA